CGTGATATATCCTGTAAAATACCGGTAAGCAGGCAATTTTACGGCGGTGTTCAAGGCTCTGCAGCTTCGCCTCCACTAATTCCGAGTCACCTATAAGCCTCTTGGCACGGTTGTCAATTGAATCCAAAGTGGCCAGTTGATTTGTCGCAGAGCCATCCCAAAGGTGGCAGCAGTACTCCATGCACGATCGGAATTATGATAACAATGTCCATATGTGACTCACAAAGCTCAATTGGAGTCCATGCAGAATTATTTCACACGTAGATTAAACTACCGCCTCAAAAGGTACGATGACTACCCCGATAGACTCAATTTTTTCCAGCTGGATTCACTCGCGTCTATTATCAGATATGTAGTTTCTATTTGACGTAGTTAACTCTGTGTTGGATTGTCCTGAGTTGACCGCTTGCAATGGTGTGTACCTGCCCAAACTTCGCGAAATACACTGTTTTGCGCTGAATTGTGCTTACTTACGAGGACAAATTTAAAGACAGTGATATTTTCTTTTTGAACCGCAACAAATTTATTAATTCTTTGAATAAAACCAACACTTTAAAAGGTAATAATTGTTATATAAACAGAGCACAAACGCGAAGTCACTTCATTAAAAAAATAATGTCTAAATCTATTAATACAACGGAATTCAGTTATAATATGTTATCAATATGTATTTCTATTTGTTAGATTGTTCTTTGATAAACAATATTTTGAATCGCTTTGTTTTGACATCGAATTAGTTTTCATGTAACGTAAAAAAATGAATTGCAATCTGACAAACTCTGTTTTTTTTTATTGGCTACGTAGTGTTTCGTGTTGCTGTAGCGAAAGTAAGAAGCGTATGATGAATGAACATTCATGACCACAATCATGCGTCAAGTATTCAAAGTAATAACAATCTTCCGCCCATATTTGCGCGTACAACATTGTTTACCTAATTTACGCGTTTCACAATCACAGCTGGTTTATAAAGAAATGCTTCATAACAAACTAGTGGAGTAATTTCACATAAAAAATAATTGAATATCAATTCAATAAAAAAAAATTTTATAACTTATTATTACTTAAGTTACTTAAAAATAGATAGGTAAGTAGTAAAAACAAGTACGATAGTCTGTAACGATGGAGCTGGCATTACCGCTAAACAATAAAAACTTTAGTTAAATAACAGAAAAAAGCCTAGTGCTGTTCCTTAGATTGTAAGTTTGACTATTTTCACATGTAATTTGTTAACCTGTGAAATAAAGACCCGTTTTATTAGTTATTAATAAACATATATGCATTGAGTACGTGTTAAAAGAATAGATGGTTAGACGGAATTTTCGATGATTGTTTATTTTATTTATTTATTGTATATTGGATGAGTAATCGTGAAGAAAATACTTGGAAGACAGGTACCAAAGCAAAAACAAGCGGCATCAATCAGCAGATTAATATATTATTATAAACATAATTATTAATTTTATGAGTAGTAAACTAAAACTAGTAAAAAACTGCCGAGTACACGCATTTATTGTTTAGCGGCGTAAAAAGGAATTGGGAATTAAGTTAAATAGTGTTGTATTAATAATAAATAACAATAATGGTTATCGATTACTTAGGTTTTAAAGCATTAAACAATTTTTCACGTTTCGGGCGCATTACAGTCTGCCGTCACCATGTTTCACACACTTTTAAACGGCCACGTTACATTATACTAACATAACTGCCTCCGTAGCCGAACGGATACCATGCCGGACTGCCACGCAGAGGTCCCAGGTTCGATTCCCGGGCCGGGAGAAATAGTTGTATGGCCTACAATTATTTCTCTCGTGAGTTTGGGTGTAATTTGTGGTTGTCTATGTGTGTGTCCATGGCACCCGCGACACAGGGTTTATCTAGTGTTGAGCCAACATAGCCCCTATGTTGAGTGTGTGCGTTATTTATTATTTTAAAATGGGAATAAATGGTAAAAAAAAATAGATCGAGTATAGTTTTGGTGGTGGCGTCTGTGACTGCATTTGCACAACAACGTCACCGACAACCGTCTTATTTATTTTATTAATTTTTTCGGAGGGGAGGGTGGGAAAATTAAATGCATAAAAATAATCAACGCAAGCGCAGCAACTATTCACGATTTAACCTTCACCGGCCTCGCGGAGTAGCAAATTAATTAATTTACTTCCATTTTTATTACCACAGATAATAGAATTTTGATTCAGAACTAAAAAGAGCGCCTTTGTGATATGGTTTTTTTTAATTATAATTAACAGAATAAAGTGCGTAGAAAACATTTTTTTTTTATACTAGCAAAATCCTTCCCGAATTTCCCGTTGCACCAAATTTCTCCCCTTCCCTTCCATCGCATCTTTGCAAGACTACGTTCAATAAACTTCTTTACGCATTAAGATGGTATAGCATAGAGAAAAAAAGCCATTAACGAATGACATTTAGGTGTTGCTCGGCCTTGGTTTACGACGAAACCAGTTCGCGGTGTCCCAACGCCCGGACTCTACAAATAACTGGAAAGAGCCTCATATATGTATTTCTAAAGTATTTTCTTTTAACAGTGATGTAATAATTGTTTCGGCAAAATATTTTTTTAACACTTTTTACTTCTTATAACCTATTCATTTGTTCTGAAGCGATCCATTGTTTTCTGAAATTTGTTAAGCATCTGCGTAAATAATTTTAGTGAATGGATAACACAATAGTTAGTAGTATGACTAATGCCTTTTATCCACCTGTATCGGTACCCGTATTACAATATTCAAAAGCAGATCTAAATAAATATTCTATACTTAAACGTGACGTTCGTGAAATAGAGTTCTTACGACCTCGGTGGCGCGAGATAAAGAACAATTTGGGTAAAACAAACTAAATAGTACTTATATAATGAAATTTTAATCTGTGATACTTGGATTACAACGATTTTTAGATGTACGTTTAGTACAATTTGCTGATTGGTATATTTAAAAATTCAAATCGTCTTCATCATTTGAAACTCTGCTACTAATTCTTAAGACAGATTCTTCTGAGAAGAATGAGCGACAATCTGCGAGGGTTGCTCTTTGTAAGTAAATATACATTTGAATACATTTATCATTTACAATGTTTATTTCAAACATCTTAGATCGAGAATAACTGCAAGAGCTAAACGGGACACTACCACGGATTTTTGTCATCGAATAACGCAGAAGCCGTGTAATTTTTGTGATTGTGACCTGTGTAACCTTTAGTATATTTACGTTTGTTATCTTATTAGATATCTGGACAAAATATGTATAACGACACAAAACTAGATTGATTCTACTTAGAGATCTAGATTACCTCTACATCCTAGCCCATAAGTCATGTCCACAAAAATTTATAACAAATAAAAAACGAAAGTGCTGATAAAATATTTGAAAAAAATACTAAAAAATTTATTGTTAAAAAAAAAATATTAATGAATTTCCGATCGAAAGGTGCTAACCATAAGGAACAGTTAAAAACAGCCTACTATTGTTCTTTTCCTTTGAAGTAAAAGTTGTTGTGCCAGAAAAGTTGCATGTTGTGATTCTTTTACTACTTAACATACGCTATTGCGGAATGCAAATAAAGAACATTGAATATAAAGGATATGTGTGAATTGTTATTTAATATATTACTTTTTTGTGTACTTATATTTACACTTTGGTGACATGCTTATATGTGTGAGATCGCACACCTAGTGGTATCGTTTCCATAGTCTAAAGGTGGGTACTGACCGGCGTTACGGGGCATAATGTAACGTGTTACACAGCGAGCGTTTGTGCACTCAGTACGGGTAAACGAGCCGCTCAATTCTCGCTGCGATTGCTCTACCCCGCTGTTGGTTTATTGACGAATCCTATGTCGGCGTCGCAGCGAGCACAAATGTCGATATTCTGTATTTCGAGCCTTTTATTACTTGTGATTATTTGTTGTTACATAGACGGAGTGGGACAAGGAGAAAACTATGTATTTCATAGACAAACATAGTGAAGAACCTGTTTTATGGAACCCGGGAACATCTTGAAGAGTTCGAAACGAGCGAGGTACACGAATTTTAATACGCGGCGTAACGTATCAAGCTCGATGCGAATGGTACATTACGCCCCGTAACGCCGGTCAGTACCCACCTTAAGGTTAAAGTACATAGCGTCTACGTCACAGAAATCTTAATAAATTTTGAAACTGGGGGTCTCGGTTCATGTGTATAAAATTTGATCCAAAAAATTATTATACTGTCTGGGAAATCCAAGGGCTGGCAGCTACCTTGCCCAACACATTAGCAGAGCCATACAAAGGGAAGCAGCATCTTGTGCACCTTGCCACGGGGACTGAAGGTAAGCTCCGGTCTGGCAAACAGTCGTGGGTTCGAATTCGAGTCGGATCAAAAAAATAAACCTTTGTGTTAGTTTGATCATTGTATAAATAATAACAATCCATGCTTTTCAGAATGTACTTCGCTAAATTATCTAATCCATAATTATTGTTAAGGTGAATTATTGTTTAATCTAGATCCATATTCCATAGATCCAGTTCTCAAATTATTAACACTGATAGAACGATATTAATTTGCTTATCTAGACTTTAGCGCTAAAGATAAAACAAAACAATCACAATGGAAACATTTATGTTTGTTGTTTTAGACATAATTGCGTATCAGTTTAGGCGAAGTGTGTTGTGAACGTTTTAAAGCGATGCAAGAAACATGTATATCCGAGTGACAAACGGAGAACCGAGGGGAAACCGATTACGTTGCTATAGCCACGTAGTGCGTAGGGACGATAACCATATGACCAAAAGATCTTGAAGAAACTGAAACCGCCAAAAGATGATCAGACAGGCCCCAGACCACTTCGAACGGTCCAAAGAGACATGAAGACTATGGATGTAGACCCTTGGGTGTAGAGCTTAGGCAAAAGAGCCCGGAGTGACACGCGCGGACTAAGAGGGCCAACTCCAAAAGAAATGCTATATAAGGCCAGGCCAAAGAAGAAGAATGTAACTGAGCCTACCTTCATAATGATTGTCGTCGTCGTCTTGGTTGTGCGCGTTGCTGATCTGGCGGCACAAGTCCTCATATTCGGCCCAGTAGGCAGCCAGCGCCGCGGGGTCCGGTGAGCGCGGCAGCGGCAGCGCCATGCGGACATCCGGCGACTCCTACGACAATAAAAATTATGATAAAATGTCTTGAGACGGTGAACATCTTGGAGCATAGCTTTGATAAGAAATTTCAAAAATCTGCACTATATTATTTACCTATACAGTTCTTAGGTTCTCGCGTTTGTTACATAGAGGAAATGAAATAATTTTTCCGGATTTAAATCGCGTATATTCGTTTTTTCAAACGTTTCGAAAAAAATAAAATAATTTGTAAAACGTAATGTAGCGTAAATTTAAATGTTTCTTTGTAAAATTAAAAATAAGGTATTTAATTAATAACTTTTGTAACTAGAGTGAAAAAATAGGGTGGATTACTTTAATATTTTAATATTAGACATAACTGGTTGATGAGTGTACCACCTCAGTCAACCGTCACCGTGGGATCTGTAAAGGCCCCGAAACGTTGGTTTGAAAAACAAATATAAGCGATTTAAATTCGGAAAAATAGTTTCATTTCCTATTATTTACCTAGTTTTTTTTATAATACCAAGTGACGGGACGAACAAGTCGTGCGCCTCATGGTAAGCTACACGCCTGTCCATAACAGTTGCAGTGCCACTCTGAGCTTTAAATCGCAAAGATCTGAGGGGCACTCCCACTGCCGCCGTCACCCTGAGACATAAGTTGACAAGTCTGATATGCCTGTAATTTCACCAGCACCATTACTGTTCAAAACCGGTACACAGTAATACTGACATTACTGCTTGGCGGCAGAAGTAGGTAAGGTGGCAGTACTTCCCTGGACGAACTCTTTCACAAGGAGCTCCACTGCCACTGGGTGGTTTCAATCCGTTTTGTCTGTGCCAACAAGTAGTGCTGCGAAGATTTTGTATACATGTTTCGTTAGGTAGTATCTCTTTGGATTCTATTAATTGTTTTCTTGATATATTGTTTTTCTAATGGGGATGCAGTCGTGGGGGTACAGTCGATACTCTAAGATACTCGATCCCGTCTACTTGGCTCTGTGTAGATCCGTGTGGGGAAAGGTGTTTAAAAAAACAACCTTGAAATTGAATTTGCTATGATTTCCTTATTGCGTGATTAGTGAATGATGTTTTAAGAAACTTTTGAAGCCAGTTTGATGTTTAATTACATTACATAAATACAAATTTCAACCAAAAAGCTAGAATTCGTTTGCATTTTTCTGTTGAATGCTTAAGAAAGTGCTCTTAAGACATCGATTGTACAATAATTGTCATATAATAAAAAAAATCATTATTTTAAACGTCTGAAATGGAAACACACTATAATAGTACCTACCATATCTAAACGGTAGAGGTTATATGGTTTATAGTCATTATAGAAACTGCTTTCTTTCAAAGTCGTCTCAACAATGGAATTTTCCTTAACAATAAAAATGCTTAAAAAAGAATTGGTAACTAATATACTTGTGATCAAGTGAACAATACAATCCGCGCAATTTTACGTGTCATTAGGTATTGAGCATGACTCCTTGCGGGGTCTTTTTTTGTCCTTTTATTTTTTTATTGGGTCAACAAACAGTTACACATTACGGGTATTAAATAACTCTAACAAATAGAGACTTAATGAATAACCAACACCGTTTAGCAACAGTAAAGATCTTTATGAAAGATTTCGTTCAGGGCAGTACTACCAAAGGTGGTAGTACTATAGGTAAGGACTTATTACCCAGCATTACCGTGTTCTGGTTTTGAAGGGTAAGGGTGCTGGTGAAGTTACAGGTACGTGGGACTTGTCAACTCAAGTCTCAGGGCGACCGGCGCAGTGGCAGTGCCCCTTAGATCTTTGCGATTTAAAGCTCTGCGTATAGCTTGCCATCAGGCGCACGACATGTTCGTGCCGTCACTTGATATTATAAGAAAAAGAAACCGTTAACTACCATAGATTACATAAACAGTTCTCGGATTTCAATAAATACTACTGCACTCCTAATTCAGTGGTACCATGCCACCATCCACAAATAATTGAAACACTAAATCAGAAGAACATTATAATAGTGTCACTATGGACGTAGGTTCAGTATAGGTTCCCTCCAATAGCCACATCGACCGGTGACAGCATTTACAACAAAATTATAATACTATGTGACGGTATTAACAAGTCGTGCGCCTGGTGGTAATCTACACGCCTGTCCATTATACTTGCAGTGTCACTCAGAGCTTTAAATCAGATCTGAGAGGCGCTGCCGCTGCACCCTAAGACATAAGTTGACAAGTCCCATGTGCCTGCAGTTTTACCCTTGGAGCGTTTGCGGATTACGTCCGATTCGTGTCAGTTCCGAACCCGAGAAATGACGATCCGAAATGTCACAGGGATCATTTTATCTCTCGGTGTACTTCATACAAGTGACATTTCGAAATGGACCTAGGGTCGTATTCCAGAACTGTACTCAATGCTCAAGTCAGGATTTGAGCAGACTTGAGTATGATTTCAAGCACTGGAAATACGACGCTAATGGCAAGGACTTGAGTATAATTTCTAGTGCTTTAAATCATACTCAAGTCCTGACTTGAGCATTGAGTATAGTTCTGGAATACGACTCTTAGTGCACAAGCGACATCGGAAGTGGAATCCGAGTTTTCTAAATTTGTATAGTTTCGGGTTCGGATTGCGGTAATTCCTCCTAGTAAGTTCCGCGGCAATGTAAATTAAGTCATATGCATTTGAATTGAAACATTGACTGCTTAATTGAGAAGAAACCGATCTCCCAATGAATTACCACCGCGTACCAAACATAACACTAAAAAAATGTACATTAAAAATGTCCGAACCGTAAATAATTGCTACCAAAACGAGCGTATTTAGAAAAATTAGAAACAATGGGAATTTTTGATTGTCATGCAGATGAGCAACGTCGGCTTTATGAAATAACGTTGGTTAATCTTTAATATATAGGGCACTGGAGTACAATGTGCGTTCTCATTGCGACACTGGGTTATTACACTTATATACAACTTGCTACGATTATATCGTGTAACGACGTAGCTACTGTAACTGGTGCACGAAAGTGACTGTTTTCCGGTCTATATAATTGTATCTCCGTATAAGAAGGAATCTTTAATAATTTTAGGCAAGTCTTGGTGGTAAGCGAAACGCTTTTACGTAAACATAAGTCGACAAGTCTAAGGTGCCTGTATTTTCACTAGCACCCTTCTAAGCCGGAACGCAATAATGCACATTATTGGTTGACGGAATTCATTTCAAATAGTAAATTTAGTTCACTTGATAGACTTTCTATATATCTAATTCTATAATTAAACAATCTTTTAATTTCATAACGTGACTTCATTCAAATTCTATATGAGCAAATATTCGTAATGCTCCACAGGAATTCTGCAATCAATTTGAGTTTTCATCGCTCATAAGTAGCATACACTTGAAACTAAATGTTTAATTTTATTGTGGCCTACTTTGACAATTACCACCAAGGCGATGTTACGAGACTTGTTTAGCGACTTTGCCATATTATGACAAATAGCCAACCTCTATCTATCGTTACAAGTGTAAGACCTTGACGACTGTCAATTGTTTCGAAATGATTTGTTGTTAATGGATTAAAATCTTTGAAGTTGGATATCAGTCTATGATGGTAGCACTATGTGTGACGATGTGGCCTCCTTACATCGTCATCCCACCTTTTTATTACCTTTTCTCTAGTTCCTGGCCCCTTGTTTTCAAATTTTGAATCGTTCTTTAATTCCTTTGCCTCACCTCATTTTGTTTCGTTCCGTCGTCTCCTGCTCAATCGCTGTAGCGAGCAGTTCTGTGTAATTTTTAATTGCGTCTAATTTTGATCATTTTACCAGTTCTCAACCTAAATCATGAGCCAATATTAATGTTAATACCAATCTGTAATTCTGTAGGTATAACTCGGCCCTTTCGTGGTAAGTCTGTCTCACGTTTAGTATTAAGTAGGGAGTGCGTTGTACTTGTTTTTTATATACCCTTTCTTGTTACAGCCTCTCTTTACCTTTTAACTATGGAATATTTTTTTATGGACCGAAGTATCCTATTTTATTGCCGTGATCCTGGTCACGGCACATTAGTGGTTTACAACCTTTTATATATCGAGTTCTTAGGTTTTCGCGATTGTTACACATAGGAAATGAAACTATTTTTCCGGATTTAAATCGCGTATATTTGTTTTTTCAAACAAACCGACGTTTCGGGCCTTTTACAGGTCCCATGGTCACGGTTGACTGAACCTTTCATATGTAACAAATTGGTTTCTGTTTAACTGAGCAGTAAGTGTGTAGAAAAGATTGAATATAATATCCCTGAAGCTTTGATTTTGTAGCTGTCACAGTGGCATTTACATAGCTGCCTATTTACATAACTACATTGTAATATATTGAGATTTTGTGAAATGACTCCAATACTTTTGGATACAAAGATAACACATACAAAATTTTTTTCGACCCTATGGGACTTCAAAGTGTATCGCTTATGACTCGTGTCAGAAGTACAGCAACTGCTAAAAATGGTTGTAAGCAGACTTGATTGTCCAATTTTAATGTATTGGGTTGGGCAAATCAAACCTATTTTTATAAAGTACATTAAATTAATATTATGTTATGTTGTGTTGTTGTGTTCTGTATACTAACCTATTCTAAGTGAAAATGTTACTAAAAATTGCAAGGGTCCATTTTGTGAAAAAAAATAAAGAAACAAAAAACAAAATTAGAAAGAAAAACGAAACATTTAAGAAAAAAAATAAAGAAAATTAAAAACAGAACAGGTCCAAAGATTAAGTTGGCGTAGAGGTCATTGGAGGTATCGAAAGATGTTTATTCCCAAAAGTTCCGTTCATGGAACTAGTGGAAATAAATGTAACGTTTTTATCTTTATTCCCATTACTTCCATACGTATAGATTCCTAAAACTGCACGTATGCTAGATAACAACCACGCCCATGACATACCCCATCAAACAATGCTTATCCGATGACGTCAGACGGCATACGTCAAAGAGCACATAATGTTCTTTATCGTTGATACGAGTTGAATTTCATTACTT